TGCTTCTGGAACCTCACAGAGGAAACTCAGACATTGTTAGACCTATACCCAGATCCTTCCTTGTATTCAGAGACCTCCCCACTGGAACCAGACTCTACTGCATCCAAATGACTTGGGATATATCCATCACCTTAGATTACCCCAAATGCAAATGAAACTCAACACTGGGTGGATCTTGTACCAGTTACTTAACTTCTCTGAACTTCATAGTGCTTGGCACTTGGCAGAGTCAGATTACCTGGTGAGGGGATGGCTGGATGGAAGGAAGGAGATAAGATGAATAGGTCACAAACCATAACACTTGATACAGTGAAACATAAGGCCTGCCCATTTTTTCTGCTATATCCATCATCATCAACCAAAGAGGTATAGAACCAGAGGGGAAAGGAGGGTCTTCTCCTGGGCTACATCTCAGGAAATATGTTCTTATTGCTTATCTGCTAAGATTTCCCTCCTCAGCAGTCCATCTGTCCATGTCCCTGGGAGCACAGAGATAAGTATTTCTGAACACAGTAAAGACGTTTTTTCAAAATCTAAAGGCCTGAGGATTTGGGGGGCACAGCCTGTGTAGAAAGGGCAAATATCCCGAGATACGGCTAGAGATCCCAGCTCCACCTCAGCATGTGAATCAATTAGAATTTTCCCAGGCCAGATCCCTCCCAAGGTCCTGCCCTAGTTTTGGCTTTGTATTACCTTTCTGAAGCTAAAATAATTCATGAAGCTGATAAAACCCTGGGGTTGGCAATTCCAAGCTCAGAAGAATGGCATACACATTCAGGGTCTTTTTTTTTATTAGTACTTTAGAACCAAGAGTTCATTTACCTAAAGACAAAAGATGTGCAATGCTTGGTCCACAAGTGGGATAAAGCAGGAGTGCCCCATCAATTACCTTGGTGTTTGGACAACTGTTGTAGCGTCACCTTGATTCCTTTTTTTTTTTTGAGGCAGGAACCCCCTGTTACCCAGGCTGGAATGCAGTAGTGTGATCCTGGCTCACTGCAGCCTCAAACTCCCACAGGTGCGTGCCACCACACCTGGCTAATTTTTTGTAGAGATAGGGTCTCTCTATAATCAGGTTACTCTCTGAGTAATCAGGCTGGTTTTGAACCCCTGGACTCAAGCTATTCTCCCACCTCAGCCTCCCAAAGTGCTGGGATTACAGGAGTGAGCCACTGTGCCTAGCCTCGTCACCTCGTTATCATTCTATGAGGATGTACAGCCAAAGACTTAGCAGGCTAACAGGCTGTTAATTTCTGTCACATCCAGGATCTCTCACCAGCCAGCAAACCAACTTCCTGGAGATATCAAGAGTGGCCTGTACATTTTATAAATCCCAAACTGTGCCTCGTACCAAAGAAGCAGAAAAAGGATCTGGCCTTGCAGAGCTCAGCCACCAGCCAGGAAAAATCAGTCTTTCTTTCTTCTTCTTCTTTTCTTTTTTTTTTTTTTTTTAAGTAAAAGAACACTGTTGATGGGAAGCAGAAAGAACAACACTACTATGCTAAGATTTATAATGAAAAAGCTCCCTCTACAAAAGACAACAGATTCCAAAGAGTACATACTATATAATTTCATTTACAGAAGTTCAAAATCAGACAAACATCTCCCATGGTCTTGATAATCAAGAGGTGCTTACCTCTCTATAGGAAGGAGGCAATAATAATCTGAAGAGGCATGGGGGGGGGGCATTGAAGGTGCTTGATAGTTACTTTGTTCTGATCTGTGTGCTGGGGATAAGACTGTTCATTTTGTGATCATTCATCACATTACCACTTAATGATGTGTGTGATAATCTATATCTATTCCACACATCAACAAAATGATTTTTTGAAAAATCATTCTTTTTATAGACAGAAATTAGCTTATACTTACTGCTGCCTGCTTGCAGAATCGAATCCACGTACAATGGGCCAGAGACTTAAAAAACAAAAAACAAAAAAACCCCCAAACAAACCCATAAGCCTTTTGCTCACCCGAAATGGTTTTTTATGGTTTTCAAATTCAGTAAGAGGTTTCTTCAGGCAGAATTTCACTGAATTTCAGGGCCTAATCAGGCCTTTTTTTTTTTTTTTTTTTTTTTTTTGGCACTTGGCCAATCTTTGGATGGGCCAAATTCTGCCTGTGGACCCAGAGACAGAACAACTAAGTAATCCTCAGGCCTCCTAGGTCTGACACAGAGGAGAGCAGAGACCCAGAGAGCACAGGAAAAGCTAAGGAACTTTCTCCAAATTACACAATGAGTTGCTGGTGGGGGGCCTTGTGATTTTCAGTCCAAGGACTATCACTTTTCTACTACATCTCTTCCACAGGGGCCAATTAATAAAACTTCTCCTCTGGGGAACTGAGAAAAATGAGCCCAGTAAACTTCACTGGTCATTCTTTGCATACAAAGTACACAAAGGAGTTTACCAAGTTCCTCTCCAACAGGAAATCATTTGTCTCTAAGAGCCAGGAAGAGGAGGAGGGAAGTGCTGAGTTTGCAACAGGGCATTGCAACACAGCCCAGTGTTTTTATGGAAACGATGTTCCCCTAATCAAAACACGGTTGCATAAATGGACTCACTCCACTTAGGAAAAAAAAAAAGTTGTTTAAAGCCTATAAATGGGGACCACACAACCCTGATTAATTTTTAAAGTTCTTTCTCCACTTTCTTTTTTAGAAAGTAGCTAAAAATAAAGGCTTGAAACTTGAAATAATGTAAGCAAGTAATCACTCACATACACACACACACACACACACACACACACACACACACACACACTGGGCTTTTCCCATATATGGCTGCGTTATTCTTCAGTCTTTGAAAAGGGCAAATGAAGAGATGGCCAACAACCAAAATAATCCTTCAGACATTTGAAAACGAGGAGAAAGAACTAGAAGAGTTGGTGAATGACAAACAATTGTAAGGCTCAATGGGGATAAATAACACTGAGAGGGATTAGTTGCCATAGCACTTTAAAAACATGGGCACATGCATTTTGACACTGGGCCCCTTCTATAAAGAGACTGTTTTGCCCTCTGGCCTCAGCACTGAGAAAACTACAACTGCAGTAATTTAACATAAAGGACTTAAAGAAGGAAACCAGTACAGGGGCATGACTGAAAATTTAATTAAGGCCCTTCTCAGTATAAAGTCTGTAAAGGAGATGAGGGCACATATCAAGGTCAGAAGAAGGGGGAGACTTGGGAAAGATTCAAATGAGATACGAGAGCATAAATAGCAGAGGTCGGCTCTGGAGGTCAGCTTCCATATGATAGATGGTTATTACTGTGTCTTTTGGGTCCTATGTGAAATGTCTCTGTAGAGAAGATTAACGCATGTCAAAAAAAAAAAAAATGCCACCGTGTGTGGGGGACGGTGGATGGGGGACACATTTTTATAGTGTTTTGTGGTTTTCAAGGCCGTGTCAGATGTAATCCTGGACGCAAAGTAAAGCACCTGCTTTTCTTGATGTGGAAACTGAGGCTCTGGGAGGCTAAGTGAACTCTACAAGTTCTTTCTTTTTTTTTTTTAGATGGAGTCTCACTCTGTCGCCCAGGCCAGAGTGCAATGGCATGATCTTGGCTCACTGCAACCTCCACCTCCCAGGTTCAAGCGATTCTCCTGCCTTAGCCTCCTGAGTAGCTGGGATTACAGGTGCACACAACCACACCCAGCTAATTTTTGTATTTTTAGTAGAGACGGGGTTTCACTATGTTGGCCAGGATGGGTCTCAAAACTCCTCTCCTCGTGATCCACCCACCTCGGCCTCCCAAAGTGCTGGGATTACAGGTGTGAGCCACCGCGCCCAGCCCACAAGTTCTATTATGGGTGGCTTTGTGCAAGTGGGCTTAGGTCCCAACAGGAAGCAAAATCTCCCAATATGCAGGCCACGGATCTTTCGACTCACAAGACCTTTGAAAGAACATTTGTCAGACTGCCAAGTTTAGGTATGGACTGTGGCTCATCCACTAAGTCTCTGTGACCATAAAGAAGTCATTTCCCCTCTTCTGATTCTTATTCTAAACGGAATATAACAGTGCCATCCTAGCTGGCAGAAGGTGGGTGGCGAGGAGGAAGAGAGAGACAAGCATGAGCTGAGTCCCTGTGCTCTCTGCACTCGTCTGAGTCTGTCCTTGCAAATCTCCAGGTAGGACTGGCGGGCAATATCACCATTTCACTCATGGGGGCAGCTGTCACATTACAGGAGAGAATACATACGTGGAATCTAAAAAAATGATTTCCAAAATGTAAGACTGGAAAACCTCTTCAATCTCCCGAAAATATAGTAATGAAAATGACTGAAGAGGCAGTATGAATTCTAAATGTCCATCCCACTGCCTTTTTCTTTTTAATCCCTAAGGGATGGAACTTCCTCATGATACTTTGGATTATTTTTCTGAAAAGACACCCCGCTTTCTGGTGACCCTGCATGCTTCTAGTGGTTTTCCCATGCCTGCCTATGAAGGTTCTCTACTTGGGTTCAGAATCAATAATAATAACGAACAACAGCAAAGAAACAGCAGGTATTGTTTGTTGAGAGCCTGTGATATATACTGTTGCTGAGCCCTTTCTAGCAACCATCCATAATCCATACAACTACCAGGTGAGGTCAGTATTACTTTCTCCATGTTATAGATAAGAAAACTAAGCCTCAGAGAAGTTTAGTGACTTGGCCAAGGAAGGCCATCTTAATAACGGCAGGGCTGGGATTTAAACCATTGTATGGCTGATTCCAAAGCACGTTTTTTTTCTGTTCCTATTGCATTATGAGGCCTCTAGTCAGTTTACAAAACGCATCAAAGACTCTAGGCAATGCTTCTCGTTTGTGATTTCTTCCCATCACTATCCTGCAGAATGGAATACCTTCTGGGTGGTCGGAAAGTTCTCCCACTGAAATCCCAGCTGCAGGGTAAATGGGTGGATATGAAGTGGGCTGGGCAGATGGAATGGCAAAGAGACCCCACATGCCTTCCCCCTGCACCAAAAGAATTGTGATTTCACTTCCAAATCACTAACCTGGTGAGGCACGAGCCCAAGAGAGGTTGGAGGCTCATTCATCCGATCGTCACTGCTGCTGGCAATGGCATAGCCCCTGAGGACAGGAAACAATCAGAGCTGCTCATTTAATCCAAGTTTAACACATGGGAGGATGATCTAAGCAGAAGTCTACATAAGATTCATAAGGATAACTAAAATGCCCCTTGCTGGGCAGTGTAAGTTAGCAAAAAAATAATTTCCCTGGGACAAAGGGCAAGAAGAGTAATTTTAAAATGCACGGTTTGGAGTAAGAAAGACCTGAGCTTGTGACCATAGGCAAGTTGCCTAACTTCTCTGTGCTTCAGATCCATCATCTAGAAAGTAGGAATGAGGGAGCTCTGATTAATAAATGAGGAATCTACTATACCAATTGCCAGTGCAATGTTTGGCATATCAGAGGCCAATAAACATTAACTCACTTACTATGAAATAGTCTTATCAAACATCACAGAACATTTCTGCACTGAAAATTTGAAGAGGAAAATTTTCTAACCTTAACTTCTTGAGCTGATATAAATGGTAATGAAATGCAGGAAATAAAAGTGAAGAAAGAATTGGGCAAAACTAATGCACTACTCTCTGAACAATGGAGTGATACTTCTGTCACCAAAGAGACGTGACACAGGACCTGGTGTTTAAACTATAACCAGGGCAAATGTGGCAGACGGATGGTCAGCGTCAAGGAAGCAGAAAGTCAGCTCTCAAAGATTTTGTCCCAAATACTTCCTGTCAGAGAATGGCAATAAACTTAAATGACAGATAGCTAAGGTGGATGACAAAGAGGAAGACAAAAAAGTCCTGCTTTTCGTTTATCTCAGAGTACCCATACTAGTTACCTATACAGTCACAATTTTCAACTGCTGAGGAAAGCTTTGAGTCACACAATAAATAGAATATTCATGTTAATTTGCATATTGACTTTCTGAGAATTGGAAAAATAAATCTTTCAAAAATTCAATTTTCTGCTGCCTGTATTGCAAACAACATAACAAAGTGATTAAACATAGTTTGGAGCCACATTGAGCTAAACCCTGGCTTTTCCATTTACTATGTTAATTTGGCCACTTACTTATCCTCACTGTGCCTTGATTTCCCCATCAAAACCGGGACTAATAATAATAGTTCTTTCCTAACAGGTTTGCTATGAAGATTAAAGGAGGCCAGGTGCAATGGCTCACGCCTGTAATCCCAGCACTTTGGGAGGCCAAGGCGGGTGGATCACCTCTGATCACTGAGGTCGGAGGTTCAAGACCAGCCTGACCAACATGGCAAAACCCCGTCTCTACTAAAAATACAAAAATTAGCCGGGCATGGTGGCGTATGCCTGTAATCCCAGTTACTTGGGAGGCTGAGGCAGGAGAATCACTTGAACCCAGAAGGCAGAGGATGCAGTGAGCCAAAATCGTGCCATTGCACTCACTCCAGCCTGGGCAACAACAGCAAAATTCTGTCTCATTAAAAAAATAATAATTAAAGAAAAAAAAGATTGAAGGAGGCAATATTTCTGAAGTGCTTAGACCAGTGCCTAGCACAAAGTAAGCCCTATATAAGCATTGAAAAAATAAAATAAACCATAATTTGTCCAAAAGGATGCAGAAATGTGGCCACAAAGGAAACGTGCCAAGTTATCTCAGCCCAAAGAACCAGACCTGCTTTTTCTAGTCTTGTGTTTTTGAGGGTAGATAAAGTAGTGAAATTCTCTGAAAAGTCAGACTGAGAAAAGGCTACAGGAGACATTGATGAATGACTGCCTACAAAAGCTTTGTTTAAATGCTCATCTCCCACTAGCAAACTCACCCTTCTGGATGCTGCAAAACAGATACCATCAATTCCACGGCCAGGGCTCCTGCAATCATGGCCAATCCTGGACGACTCACAGTGCACTGCTGGTCCAAGGTCCGGTCTCTGGTTGACTGCAAAGAAACAATCATTGGTGTGTGCTGAATGTTCTATTCCATTCAACTCTAGCTGTCTCAAATATGAAATCCTCTGTGACAAAGCTTTAAATTATAACCAGATGCTCATTGTTAGCAAAGAACATCCAGCCTCAAGTACATCATTTCTTGAGATTATCAAGAAAACAAAATACACAATTTAGGTAACTAAATGAGGTAATATGCTAAAAAGGATCAGCAGCTTAAACAGATTGGGGGATATCAACCAAAAATGAGGGCTTAGCTGCCTCATATAAAGGAACTGCATCATGTGTTCCTTTATGTGACTCAATTCAGTTCTGTGCTTGGTAGTTAAGTGACAGAGACACAGAAAGGAACAATGATTAGAATAGTGCAAATGATTCTGCCCTGCCATTTTAACTAACACCTCAAAGTGACCGTGAGATGGGAGCAACAATTTACTATTATTGCAGCCCTCAGTTCCAATGTTCCTCTCACAACATGGGCATCACCTCTCTGGGTGATTCTAGGGTTTACTACAAGTATTTTTTTTTTTTTTTCCTACAACATGGCTGTGAACACAAGCCTTTGCTGGTTCAACCAAAGAGAGTCTAACCATCCCACTCTGGGCAAATTAAAGAGGTTGTCAGGAATTTTTTTGACTCTATGAAAATTTTACCTTATGAGCAAATGGGACTTTACTGCAAGGAACCACTAATCGTATTTGTTGACAATAACTAAATAACAAGACCAGCTGTATATTATAACACCATGACAGAGATCATCAAGCCATCCTTCTTCATATAAGAGAATGGTCATCTTCTTTTCTTTATATTGGGAGGACATAAAAGCCAGTCATCCAAAGGAGATATGAGTTATTAAGTGAAAAATTTTAAAACAAAGGAAAAATAGAGGGGAGGTTAGAGAAAACATCTCTGCATTGCCTCACTGGAAATTTTGTATCTGTTCTGATAAAGGAACAGCCCTACAGACAGACAGACTTGTGTGAAGTTCTGAAAGCCATAGAATCTTAATTTGTACAGTGTAGTCTTGCTGTTCAAAGCACTGTCGCACTTGACCCACTGAATTGTGAGTTGACAGGGCAAGTATTCTTCCCTCCCCTATTAGCATTGCCAGGGAGAATACAGGACACTCAGTTAAATTTGAATTTCAGATAAATAAATTTTTAGTATAAGTGGGTCTTGAATATTGCATGGAACATATACTAAAAAATTATTCATTATTGGCCCGGCATGGTGGCTCACGCCTGTAATGCCAGCACTTTGGGAGACCAAGGCAGGGGGATCACAAGGTCAGGAGTTTGAGACCAGCCGGACCAACATGGTGAAACTCCATCTCTACTAAAAATACAAAAATTAGCCGGGCGTGGTGGCACGTGCCTGTAGTCTCAGCTACTCAGGAGGCTGAGGCAGGAGAATCACTTGAACCCAGGAGGCAGAGGTTGCAGTGAGCCGAGATCGTTCCACTGCACTCAAGCCTCGGTGACAGAGCGAGACTGTCTCAAAAAAAAAAAAAAAATTCATTATTAACTGAAATTCAAAGTTAGCTGGGAATCCTGTATTTTTACTTACTAAATCTGACAAGCCTACACACCAGTCCTATTTTGCAGAGGCAGAGGGAACCTAAGAGACTTTTTGGAATTACCTGGGAGGCAGTGTCAAGGCATTGATGGAATCTGATCTTTAGACTCCTAATTTGTAATGTTGTCTTGACTAAAAGAAGCACAGGAGACAATACTGAGTGCTACCAGGGATTAGTCTGCTGTGGTTTCCTCAATAAGCTTTCCAAAAATAGGGTTTGTAGCCGTGTTTATATTGGTGAACAAGGAACAGCTGTACAGTTGATGACGCCAGTCAAGGTTCATAATGAGATAATGCCATCCTCCCCAAATTGGAGAATTCTTCTCTTTGTTAAAAGATAATATTTAAATAGTCATAAATGAAAGGGCCGAGTCTGTCTGCCTCAGCGCACAAGTTGGTGATAGGAAATATTTGGAACTAAAGAGAAATCCACTTACATCTCCTGGGGCCACCACATCATTGCAGAAATAGCAGCCAAGCTTGTAACCAGGGATGTTGGCAAAAAGTGATGAGCCCAGGAGGTCAGCAGATGCCACAGGGTGGTTTGGACACAAGTCCCCAGCTCCCTGCTGCTTTGGTTTCTTCAGGCCATGTCTCATGACAACAAATGTGTCAAATCCCAAAGCAGCATTGATGACCAGCTGCAGGTTTCAAGGAATAAAAGAGCAGAGTTAAAAGACACATATATTTGAAGCTGTGGCTAATTCCATATTTGCTCAACTTTTTAAAATTTATTTTTTGCATGTAAGTATAATTAGATTATAAAAGTTAATGATGATAAAAGCTACCCACTACTGAGGGCTTATTAAGTACAAAAGACCTAATTATATCACAATTATCATAAATTATCTTATTTAATTTCATTTGAAACTCATAACAGACCAGGCACAATGGCTCATAACCTGTAATCCCAGCACTTTGGGAGGTCGAGGAGGGCAGACTGTCTGAGGTCAGGAGTTCAAGACCAGCCTGGCAACATGATGAAACCCTGTCTCTACTAAAAATACAAAAAAATTAGCCAAGCATGGTGGCATGCGCCAGTAGTCCCAGCTACTCAGGAGGCAGAGGCACGAGAAACGCTTGAACCTGGGAGGTGGAGGTTGCAGTGAGCCGAGATTCCACCACTGCACTCCAGCCTGGGCGACAGAGCAAGATTCTATCTCCAAAAAAGAAAAAAGCAAACAAAAAAAACTCATAACAAACATTTCTTATTTATAGATGAGGATACTGAAAGTCAGAGAAGTTAGTTCTATGACTTGCCTAAGGTCACTTATCTGGCAAGAGGCAGGTGTATAAAACCAAGTCTACATAGTTCTGAAACACATTCTTTCTACCATTATACTATACTGTCACGTCCACATAGATTTGTTTTTATAACAGCTTTATTGAGATATAATTCACATACCATATAATTCACCCTTCATATAGATTTTTTTTGGTATCCCAGTAGCTGGAATCATAAGCACATGCCACCATGCCTGCCTGGCTCTGCATAGTTGGTATTTTGTTTTGTTTTGTTTTTTGTTTTTGAGACGGGATCTTGCTCCATTGCCCAGGCTGGAATGCAATGGCGTGATCTCGGTTCACTGCAGCCTCAACCTCCCAGGCTCAAGTGATCTTCCTGCCTCACCCTCCCGAGTAGCTGGGAGCACCAGTGTGCATCACCACACCTAGCTAATGTTTTGTTTTTTTTCTAGAGATAGAGTCTCATCATGTTGCCCAGGCTAGTCTCAAACTCCTGTGTCAAGCAATCCTCCCAAAGTGCTAGGATTACAGATTTGAGCCACCATGTCCAGCCCAACACATAAATTTTTTAAAAAACATTTTTTTCATTATACTATAACAACTTTTCATGGTTCTAATTTAACTTATTATCCCAAATTTCTGATAGTATAGAAAGTTTGAAAAATAAAGGATAAACACACTACAAAAGAAAAAAATCACTCAACCCACAGCTCAAAAAATTATCATTAATAGTTTGGGGTATTTTTTCCTATTATTTTCTCTCTTTCCCTCCCATTCTCTCCCTGTCTTTCTCCCTTCTTCTTGCCCTCTTTCTCTCTCCTCTCCCAATAGACAGATAAGTAGATACATAGGAAGACATATATATTTAACATAATTGGTATAAAATATATACAATATTGCATCTTCCTTAATATAATGCGGCATTTTCCATCTTATTAAAAGTCCTTTGAAAACATACTGTGGCCGGGCGCAGTGGCTCACGCCTGTAATCCCAGCACTTTGGGAGGCCGAGACGGGTGGATCACGAGGTCAGGAGATCGAGACCATCCTGGCTAACACGGTGAAACCCCGTCTCTACTAAAAAATACAAAAAACTAGCCGGGTGTGGTGGCGGGTGCCTATAGTCCCAGCTACTCAGGAGGCTGAGGCAGGAGAATGGCGTAAACCCGGGAGGCGGAGCTTGCAGTGAGCTGAGATCTGGCCACTGCACTCCAGCCTGGGTGACAGAGCAAGACTCCGTCTCAAAAAAAAAAAAAAGAAAACATACTGTGAATGGCTGCACACTATTCCATCATAGGTATGCACCATGATTTAGTTCACTATTCAACACTGTTGGCCTTCGAAGTTGTCATTGACCAAGTAATGGTGAATGAGACCAAGTCTGTGTCTTCTTGGAGCTTACATTTCAATGTAAGTACAGTATACCTTTCAGTGTAGAGTATCTCAAAAGATTATTACGAAAATTAAGCAGTAAATGATACCTATTACACTGGGTGATGGTGTGTGAGGTGAAGACAGAGTCTGAAGCAGAAGCCCTTTGGCACTATGCTACCAGGTCATACAAACCACATCTCTGCTCTGGGGAAGGGAAGGTTAGGGACACTCCTCCCTCTGGAGTGGTGGTGCATTAAATCATAAATCATAATTAGAGACAGTGCCTACCTTTCTCTTGCTTGCAGCAATGACAGCAGGAAGCCACCTGCTCTCCCTGGTGTCCATCAACAGGAAAATGACATCATGGCTTTCGATGAGCTGCTCCAGTTGCTCCACATCTCTGCGGGCTTGCTCCAGAGTGACACTGGAGAAGTTCACTGGATGCCCAGGCATGGGTATGCTCATGTTGAATCCTCTGGCATTCTAGGGAAACACCAGGATGTAGTTATGTCTGGATCAATGGTATAGGCAATATCTCACAGCCCACACTTCCCACAGCTGCCTGCACTTACCTGTGGTCACTTACATGAGATCTCCCTGTGCACTATTATGCTGCACCCTTCCCATGCCCTCTCTCTTCTTCACGTCTGCATCCTAGAACACCTTGACCTATCACCCCAGGGCCCTGAGGCAGGGCAGGGCAGCAAGCAAAGACATACGGATCTCAGTTCCAAAGTGGAGGGGGCTCATCCTACCTGAGGTAAGGACACTGGAGAAAGCTGTATCTTTGGCTCTTTCCAGTCATCCAAGGCCAAGAAACTTTATCACAGCACCTTCTGCCTACCCAAGTACCTCTGTTTTTTTTCTTTTCTTTTCGTGTTTTGGGGCTTTTTGTTTTTTGTTTTTGTTTTCGAGACACGGTCTTGCTCTGTCGCCAAGGCTAGAGGGCACTGGCACAATCATAGCTCACTGAAACCATGACCTCTTGGGCTCAAGGGATCCTCCTACCTCAGCTTCCCAAGTAGCTGGGACTACAGGCACACATCACCACACCCGGCTGATTTTTTAATTTTTAGTAGAGATAGGTTTCACTATGTTGCCCAGGCTGCTCTCGAACTCCTCGGCTCAAGGAATCCTCCTGATTTGGCCTCCAAAGTGCTGGAATGACAGGCATAAGCCACTGTACCCTGTCTAAGTACCTCTTTCCAACTGGGCTATCTCTTCCTATTTGCTTCCAAATTGCCCTCCCTTCTGTTTTCTCAGTGTTAAACATCTCCATACGGAGTGTTCTAGCAAATATAATTTGATCTCACATTAGGTTAGAATGACTGATGATCTTGCCTTAATCCTTTCAGGGGTATATGCATTTTAAAAAACCTCAAATACAAAAAACTACTTGCTAACTTAGAGCCAAAATATCTACTTATGAGTATGTAGATATTTTTGTGGGGCAGGAGTTACAGTGGGTGATGTCAGAGTGTGGGACAGAGTAAGGCTTCACTCTCTGTCCAAAAGTAGAAGCTGTCCAGCAACCTGAGTTCCCTGAATTGGGATTTTTTACATGCGCTTTAGAACAGCTCTATAATTTACCATCTACCCCTTGATGACCACATAATATTTTGGCATATTAACAGTGAGTCATATATGGGTGCTAATGAAGCCAGGGACACTGACTTTCCACAAAAGATGAATGTGTTCTAGAATCATAAACTGTACCCTTAACCCTGGTGTAACACTGGCCATAGGGAAGTGTTTGAAAACATCGGCTTTTTCACTCATTTGCCAAAACCCCTCACTTACTGGAAAAACAGCTCAAGGGACAGGGCAAGCAGATCTTTTTAAAAAGAAATATCAAATTTGTAGATTGTGGATATTTTTTCATTGTCTTCGACTTTAAACCTAATCTCTGGAATTCAAAAAGGAAGAACAATAATTTCAAAAGGAATGAAAAATAGAGTGGCAAGCAAAGCAGGAAAGGACATGAGGCAAAAAGGATTTCAGAAAGAAGAAAGGTGCAGAAACATGTCTATTTTAACAATGAGACTAGCACAGCTATCAGGATCTCATTAATTCATTAAGTATTGTGCACCTACCGTGTACCAAATGCTGTAATAAGCAATAATAAAAGCAATGACTACAGTAATAATTGCAATACCTGCAATACCTTACTGACATACTACAATTGACAAAGCATGTTAAATGGTGGTAGCTTGATCCAAAGAACTATTATGTATGTATTTTCATGACACCAAGATGGAAGCATAATCATGCAATACCAATTCTGAACTTTTGAATAATAAAGTAACTTTGCTAACCTAAATAAATCTCTACTTGCTAAAATTTCAGCCAGTAAGCTAACATAAGAGCCCATCAGTTATGTCCACATCCCAGAGGCTGGAATTCAGCAACTTTCAACACAGTGGTTTTCTACTTGGCTGTATATCAGAACCACCTAGAGAGTTTAATGGCCAAGCTTTTTCCCAGACCATTTAAATGGAAATCTCTAGGAATGAGCCCAGGCACCAATATTTTCTAAAACTCCCCTGATGATTCAAAGGTGCAGCCAGGTTGAGGTATAATTTACATAAAGTTAAATACACAGATCTTACATGCACAGTTCAATGTATTCTGACAAATGAGATTAACCACTGCATACAACTATCAAGATATAGAACATTTCCATGATGCCAGAACATGCTCTTGTGTTCCCCCTCAGTTGGTCCCCACTTGTCCCCAGATGACAACTGATCTGACTTCATAAGCCATAGATTAGACTATTCTAGAACATATCACATAAATGATATGCTAGGGTATACAATTGTTCGTGTTTGGTTTCTTTTGCTCGGCATAATGCTTTTGAGGGTCATTCATATTGTTAAGTATCAATAATACATTCCTTTTGTGGTGTAATTATACTATAATTTATTTATCAGTTCTCCTGTTGATGGTGATTTGGGTTATTTCTAGATTTGGGCTGTTTTGAATAAAGTTGCTGTGGACACTTTTGTATAAGTATTTTCATGTATATATGTTCTCATTTCTCTTAGGTAAAGATCTGAAAGTACAATTTCTGGGTCACAAGGTAGGCATGTGTTAAATTTCATGAGAAACAGCATGATTTCCAAAGTAGTTATTTTACCAGTATATAAGTGTTTTGCTTGCTCCACACCCTGACAACATTTAGCATTGTCAGTCTTCTTAATCTTAGCCATTTAAGTAGGTGTATAAGTGATATATCTTTCTGGTTTTAATTTGTATTTCCCTGATGACTATTGACATTGAGCATTTTCACATGTTCAATAGCCATTCATAGATCTTCACCATGAATTAAGTACCTGTTCAAGCTTTTTTCCCCTTAAAAAAAAAGTTGGTTTGTGTGTCTTGTTATTGAGTGGTAGGAGTTGTTTATCTTGCATATTCTGGATAAAAGAGGACTGCACATGTCTTCTCAGTTTGGTCAGTTTTTTCCTTCTTTGAAAGGCATCTTTTGAGAAGCAGAAGTTTTAAATTTGTATAAAGTCAACCAAGTTACCATTTTTTGTTTATGGTATTTACTAGGTCCTAAGAAATCTTTATCACAAGACCACTAAGATGCTTTCCCCTAGAAACTTTATAGGGGCCATTCTGGGTGTCACTTAAAGGCTCAGAGTATTCAATGAGGTCTCTCCACTCTGTATACAGGACTCCAGTGTCTCCCAGCTCCTGTGAGCTCTGGAATCTCCATTCTGCTCATAGCTCTCTGGTAGTGTGTTTTTGCCTGGTCTGACTGTTGTGCTGCGAGTACACACAGCTCACTATTCAGTCAAAGACTCAAGGTGCTACCAGGCACTCCTGCGCACAGCTCCCTCATTTCTGGTACTATATCCTGCAAATTCCAGCCACCTCAGCTGCTCTGAACTCTGCTTGTTCCTTCAGCTCACTGAGACCAAGAGTATCTCCGTGGGCTCCCACAGGCTATGGCATGGGCCAGAAAGTGCCTTCATGTAATAAGCTGGGACAAATCTTTCCTTCCCTCTGTCTGGGACCACAGTCTTTCACTACCTACTGTTCGCTGTCTGAAAAGAGTCATTTTACATATTTTGTCCCAGTGTGTAACTGTTTATGGTGGCAGAGCTAGTCCAGTATCCACTACTCATCAGGGTTGAAGCAGATGTCCAAATTCGGGTTTTAAAACCTCAAGTGTGGCTCCATAATCCAACACCTTTTTTTTTTTTTTTCTGTGAGACGGAGTCTTGCTCTGTCGCCAGGCTGGAGTGCAGTGGCGTGATCTCAGCTCACTGCAACCTCTGACTCCCGGATTCAAGCGATTCTCCTGCCTCAGCCTCCCTGGTAGCTGAGACTACAGGTGTGCGCCACCATGCCCCGCTAATTTTTGTATTTTTAGTAGAGACGGGGTTTCACTATGTTGGCCAGGATGGGTCTCAATCTCTTGACTTCGTGATCCACCCGCCTCAGCCTCCCAAAGCACTGGGATTACAGGCGTGAGCAACTGTGCCCGGCCTCATAATCCAACATCTTATTGCCTCAAATAGCTATTTGATTTATAAAAGATCAGTTGTTTTCTTATTCAATTTACTCTTCCCCAAGATCAGGTATGGTATTTGTAGCAGAGCAGTTCTTTTCATTTAATTTTATCACAGCATTTTTAAAGGCACCTGGAAAGGGTCAATGTGACACCTATATCCTGGAGCAGAAGAGAAGGAATTAGTCAAAGAATACCACACAGATAAATTGCAAGGGTTTCTTATGAGCTGGACATTTGAGGTACGGGAAGATCTGGGGCCAGAGTACAGTTAGTTTGGGATAAATATATTTTAGAGCAAAAAACAAAAGTCAAACTCTCTAGTTCTGAGGGAATGTTTAAGGTTTTTCAGGCCAACTATTCAGTGAAACCACCCTGTCCTTGAGTTCTATCACCCAGGAGAAGCAGGGTGAAGGGTGCTCATGACCTCCTGGTACACTTCTTTGTATTTCCTGTGTTAGTCCATTTCACACTGCTATAAAGGAATACTTGAGGCAATTAAATGAAAAGAGGTTTATTTGGCTTGTGGTTCTCCAGGTTGTACAAGAAGTATAGTGCTGGCATCTGCTTCTGATGAAGGAAGCTTCCACTCATGGTGAAAGGCGAAGGGGGAGCAGGTGCATCACATGGCAAGGGAGGGAGCAAGAGAGATGCCAGGCTCTTTCAAACAACTAGCTCTTGCTCGCGTGAACTAAGAGATCGAGAACTCACTCATTAATGTGGGGCGGGCACAAAACCATACATGAGGGATCCACCTCCATGACCCAAACACCTCCCACCAGGCCCCACCTCCAACAGTGAGGATCACAATTCAATATGAGATTTGGAGAGGACATCCAAATCAAATCACTTCCTATGAATTTACTATTTCAAAATTTAAACTTTTTCGTTCTTTCTTTTTTTTTTTTTTTGAGACAGACTCTCGCTCTGTCACCTGGCTGGAATGCAGTGGTGCGATCTCGGCTCACTGCAACCTCCACCTCCTGGTTCAAATGATTCTCCTTCCTCAGCCTCCTGAGTAGCTGGGACTACAGGTGCGTGCCACCACACCCAGCTAATTTTTGTATTTTTAGTAGAGACAGGGTTTCACTAAACCCTGTTGTGTTGGCCAGGATGGTCTTGATCTCTTAACCTCGTGATCCGCCTACCTCAGCCTCCCAAGTGCTGAGATTACGGCATCAGCCACTGTGCCCGGCCCAAAATTTAAACATTTTATAAGGGTCGCACCCATTATTTTTTTCTTTTCCAAGTCAAATATCACTCGACTTCAAGCATTGAGATGAGAATCTTGCAATAACAAGTAAGGGATAGCCCAAATTAGATAATCTTGCATTAATAAAACCAATCTTTCTAACTTTTCCAGGTAACCAGATATCTAGGAAGTCTGCATTTAACACAGTTCTTACCTTCAAAAGGCCACTTTTCTTCCCTGGAATGCTCCTCCTGGTCCCTGGCCTTTCCCACCACTCTCTGGTCCTTGCCTCCCTCCCCAAGACCCCTTCTGATCAATTCCTTCAGAGCTCGGACCAAATGTCACTTCCTTAAGAAGGCTTTCCCTGCCCCCGCCCCCTGACACCTGTCCAGGTCCTGCTCTTCTATATTTCCTGAGCAATGTCTACTTATCCTTTTATTTAGTATTTCAATTATAATTCAATAAAATATAAGTTCTATAAGGGCAGAACCATGTCTTGTTTACTTAGGTCGAGCCTTTTCTCCATAGCCTGGTAGAAAGAAGGTGATGAATAAGTATCCGTTGAATGAAGAAACTATACTAAATCAAGCATATAAGGAAAGCCCCTTAAGGCTGGCTAACCAATAAGTTAAATAGTTTCACAAGTATTTTTCATGAATGTGATGAATTACACTAGTACTTCGATGGGTTGTATATACTATCTACTATTATTTATAAGGCATGAAGAATAAAAGTATAGAAGACTTGGACCCTGGCCTGGGGGACTTACTAGCCCAACAAGGAAAACAGAGTAACACGATGTAAGTGTGAAGGAAGAGGCTTGATGCCGGAGGGCTGTTTCCAAGAACAGTTGGACTTGTTCTCTCAGGCCCAGCATGGCGGTCCTTGCTCCCACCTCAGCCTTCTCTTCCTCCTCATCTTCTTTGCCCTCTATGTTGCAGCCACCCTGGTTTTCTTTCAATTCCACAAAAGCACCATGCTCATCTTACCTCAGGCATTTGCACAGACAGCTCCGCTACCCTCAACCTAGCTAACTCCCACTCATCCTTCAGGGGTTTGTTTCCTCAAAAGTCGTCCCAGTCACCCCTCGTCTAGGTCAGGCCTACCTGTTATATATTCTCATGGCAACTGAGCTCCTGCTTCCTGCATGTATTACAATGATAAGTATTTGTGAAATTATTTGTTAATCACCATCCCCCACTAGACTTTAAGCTCCACATGTCTGTCTAGTTCCCCTGTCCCTGGAACATAATAGGTCTTAAATACACTACTTGACATGCAAGTAAGTAATAGAACAACTAAACAAACAGTGGGAAGGGGGAACTGTATTGGGTCACTGACAATGACTAGGATTTGGGTAAACAAAAATTTGAGGCATCTAATAAGTGACAGAGCTCAGGTTCAAAGCTAGGTCTGTCTGGGTCCTAAAGGGAGTTCATAATACTCTCCAATAATAGATTGGATTAGTCCTTTTTTTTTTTTTTTTTGTGCTAGGGTCTCACTAGGTTGCCCAGGCTGGTCTCGAACTTCTGACCTTAAGCGATCTCCTCCCACTTCAGCCTCCCAAAGCGCTGGGTTTACAAGCTTCAGCCACTGTGTGCAGCCTAGACTGGATTATTCTTCCCAACTAGGCACCTCCTCCCTCTAGTAATATTATATATCCTCACTCTTTGCAACATGACCTTTGCAAGACCTCCTACTAGGAGGACTACACCGACTAATGTCAATGACTTTGGGCTTGGTCCTGTGACTTGCTTTGGTAACAGAAATGGAAGACATCACACTGTACCATTGTTGAGCTAAGACTTTAAGGCATAATAATCACCAACCCTTTTAAGCTTAAACCTTCTACCATAGGAAGAGTAGGACACAAATGACTGTTCCTCCTTTAGCCTAGATTTTGAAAATAACAAATACAATGGACTGGAACCTGACTCCAAGTTATGTGGCTTATTGAGTAAGTTCAGCCTAGTGACACAGCTGAACCACAGCCAACCTGCACACCATGAACATGAAATAAATGTTTGCAATTGTAAGCCACTGAGATTTTGGGATTGTGTGATATGCAATATTGTCCCAGCAGAAATCTAACTAATATGGCTCCTCAATGACAAGGTTGCAACTTATTTTTTTCAGCATCTAGCACATAGCTGGCTACATAGCGGGTGGTGAATCAATACTGTTAAACCCAATAAATGATGTTCCTCAGGGACTCTAGTGAAATGGACGAAAACATTAACAATGCTTCTAAAGCAAAGATTTTTAAATGGATGAATCTAATACAAAGTGACTAAAGAGAGAAACTTTGAGAAAGTGGGCTTTTTTTTCTTTTTGGTTAGGACTCAGAACCTCTTCTGGCACTTTAAGTATAAACAAATGCTTTGGAGACACCTAATCTAACTCCTGTCAGATAAATTGATTAAGTATTCAAGAGGCAGAATATCGTTTGCTGGTTGACCTTAAAAAAAGAAAACTGTCAAGATTTTAAATGAAAGGAGCTGAAAGACTTTTCTCTTGTTATCTGGTATTTCTAATGATATAACTCAAAAACCAGAAGCAGCTAGAGCAAAAAGCTAAACTTTCAGCCCAATCTTTCTTCTGCATGAAGACTTGCATTCAATTTATTTTTATTTTTATTTTTATTCATTTTATTTTTTTTTTTTGGAGACGGAGTCTTGCTCTGTCACCCAGGCTGGAGTGCAGTGGCCGGATCTCAGCTCACTGCAAGCTCCGCCTCCTGGGTTTACGCCATTCTCCTGCCTCAGCCTCCCGAGTAGCTGGGACTACAGGCACCCGCCACCTCGCCCGGCTAGTTTTTTTGTATTTTTTAGTAGAGACGGCGTTTCACCGTGTTAGCCGGGATCGTCTCTCGATCTCCTGGCCTCGTGATCCGCCCGTCTCGGCCTCCCAAAGTGCTGGGATTACAGGCTTGAGCCACCGCGCCCGGCCTGCATTCAATTTAATTTCATAAATCTGTACTAAGTAACTACCAAGTATTCTGGTGATAGAGGAAAAATAGTATCTTAGATCTGAGCCACTGCAAATCTCTTTGGAACCAGGCAGGATATAAAAATATATACACTCCTAAATTCCTCAACTTAAACTCATAATGCTTTGCAACTTACAAACCATTTCTTCATACATTCGTCATTTCGTTTTCACAAGAATATGTGAGAAAGATTAATTATTATTATTATATTATTTAGACAGGTTTTGGTTTGTCACCTAGGCTTGAGTGCAATGGCTCACTGCAGCCTTGACCTCCCAGGCTCAAGCAATCCTTTTGTTTCAGCCACCAGCGTAGCTGGGACTACAGATGCACACCACCACCACACCTGACTAATTGTATTTTACAGAGATGGGGTCTCACTATGTTGCCCAGGCTGGTCTCAAACTCCTGGACTCAAGTAAGCCTCCTGCCTTAGCCTCCCAAAGTGCTGGTGAGAGGTGAAACCAGCTGGACTTCCTGGGTTGAATGGGGACTTGGAGAACTTTTCTGTCTAGCTAGAGGATTGTAAATGCACCAATCAGCACTCTGTAAAAATGCACCAATCAGCGCTCTGTGTCTAGCTAAAGGATTGCAAATGCACCAATCAGCACTCTGTAAAAACGCACCAATCAGCACTCTGTGTCTAGCTAGAGGATTGTAAACACACCCATCAGCACTCTGTAAAAACACACCAATCAGCACTCTGTGTCTAAAGGATTGTAAACCCACCAATCAGCACTCTGTAAAAACATACCAGTCAGTGCTCTGTGTCTAGCTAAAGGTTTGTAAACACACCAATCAGCACTCTGTAAAATGGACCAATCAGTACTCTGTAAAATGGAACAATAAGCAGGACATGGGCAGGGACAAATAAGGGAATAAAAGCTGGCCACCCCAGCCAGCAGTGGCAACCTGCTCGGGTCCCCTTCCACGCTGTGGAAGCTTTGTTCTTTCACTCTTCACTATAAATCTTGCTGCTGCTCACTCTTTGGGTCTGCACCACCTTTAAGAGCTATAACACTTGCCGCGAAAGTCTGCGGCTTCATTCTTGAAGTCAGCAAGACTATGAACCCACCGGAAGGAACTCCAGACACATCTGAAGGAACAAACTCCAGACATACCATCTTCAAGAGCTGTAACACTCACTGCAAAGGTCCTCAGTTTCATTCTTGAAGTCAGCAAGACCAAGAACCCACCAGAAGGAACCCCACAAACCCACCGGAAGGAAGAAACTCAGGACACATCTGAAGGTACAAACTCCGGACACACCATCTTTAAGAGCTGCAACACTCACCGTGAAAGTCTGCAACTTCATTCTTGAAGTCAGCAAAACCAAGAACCCACCAGAAGGAACCAACTCCAGACACACTGGGATTGCAGGTTATGTTTTTTTATCCCTCTCTCAGATGAGGAAACAGAGGCTCAGCCACACGGTGAGTGGCTGGTAGAAAGTGACAGATGTCTGATTCTCTTTCTTCAATGCCACAAGGGCCTCATTTCCCAAGACTTAAACATTTATAGACGTAACAGAAAACCTCTGCAAAAGCATCAACATACCACACCGGGGAATATTTTCTGGAGCCGGTCTGCTGCAGCCAGAGCCTTGGGCTTACCACCCGCTAGGCAATCTTCAAACTCATAGAGAGGCTGCCTCACAGGATTGGAGTAGGAGATCTTGGCATTGTCCACAAATGTGATGTGTCTCACGCCCCAACCCTGTGTGGAAACAGGAGATCATGGTGTGTTTCTGATGAACATTTCACAGGGTGCTGTCTCTTGAAATCTCAAAAGGAGTATTGGTTTGGAGAAGCTTGGGAACCTCAAAACACAAGAAACTTCAGCAACTGAATTGTGCACATTCAGGTTACGATAAACAGAATGTTGACTTTCCTTAAAAAACAACATAATTATATACTCAGTGCCTGGCTTACTGGAGCAATGAGACTAAAAAATGTCAGAGTGGGACAGACTAATAATTCATTATTTTTGACAGTGTCACCAAAGATTTGGAGGTGAATCCCCTAAGAATTGTCCATGCTGTCATTTTAAAAAGATCAGCAATAGCCCATAAATGTCCTTGATTTCCCTTAACGAATAATTAAATATAAATAACAACTACTCTTGAAGCTCATTTAAAGCCTGAATGAACTCCTCAAAAAAATGACTCACAAATTATTTCCCACTGTATGATATCTTAGAACATTTTGTACCATTTCTTCAAAAGACAAAGCCTTATTAATAATCTGGAATTTAGGGAACAAGTCTATATTCTTAGAAATAGTTTTCATGGTTTTATAGGCTTCAGTTATGTCTCCTATAACAGTTTTATAAAACCATACAATTTTAAAGGTAGATGGGATCTCTAAAATCCTTAGTCCAATTACTTTGTTTTATAGATATGGAAACTGATGCCCAGGAAAGATAAGTGATTTGCCTAAGGGATACATCTGGTTAATGGTGGGAATGAATGAGCTCTCTAGAGTTGCAACCAAATGAAGTTGCCTACTTCTTGGGGTAGGGTACAGTGGGTATATTTTAGTAGATGATAAATAAGCATACGGACCTAAGAGATGTCCTGCCATGACTGACTATAAGGCTAAGATTCTGCTGTCTCTCTTATTTCATTATCTTTCCATTAGAAACTGAGAGACTCAATTAGATTGAAGGTTTCAGAGGTCCAGCCCTCGAGGACCCAAGATTTGTTTTCAGCGTTGAGCACAACAGGCCAGAATCTGCCTTTCATAAGCATAGGTTAGACGGGCTGTTTTGAAGCCCACTGGTAACCTTTGGTCTACCCACCCAGTTTTGTAAATTATTTTCATCATCTAAGCAACCTACCATGGAGGGAGAATAAAGTCACTTGTGCTTGCTTTGGGAATGTTTATTTCTGAAGTATTTTTGCATTCCTTAAAGCAACTGATGAGTGGATAGCAAGGAAGGCAGTCTGGGAACGTGCTGGGTAGTGGGAAGAAAGCCAGATACATTACAAACATGCCATAGGTTAGTCACATGCAGGTGTATTTCCACAAACTTAACTTTTGGTTTCCTGGAATGCTACACAGTTTAAATGGCTAATCTGCAAAGATTAAAGAAAATCACAATACTCAATGCTGGTGAGGATGTGGTAGGGAGAAAATTATCCTACTGATTGAGAATGTTAAAGTGGTCTAATCTTTCTGGAAAGCAATTTGGCAGTATGTTTCTAGAATCTTAAGAGTACCCATATCCTATGACCTATTTCCAGCAATTTATCCTAAGAAGTAATCTGACATACTGACCAAGATGCAGTCACAAAGATGTTCTTTGCAGCACAATTTACAATTGTAAAAAATTGGAAACAATGTTAATGCTAAACATTAGGAGAAGGGTTCAGTAAGTTATGTTTCATCATATAAGAAGGCATATTCTACAGTCATAAAGCTTTAGCAGACATTGCAGTGAACTCGTGCAGTCCCGACTACTTGGGAGGCCGAGGTGGGAAGATCACAAGGTCCAGTCCAGCCTGGGCAACAAAGCCAGATTCTGTCTCAAAAAATAAAAAGAAGGCCTCATAGACAGGCATAAAATGACATGTTAATTGGTAACAGCAAAGGACATTATTATATATCTAATAAAGGACATTATATATCTAATAAAATGTTAAAATACATATTAAACACTGAAAAGTAACAAGTGAAAAAGCAGTAGGAAAATGAGTGTCTTCTTTTCTGCTTTATGACTTTTATACTTTACAAATTTTCTATAATGGCTTTATGTTGACTTCGCAATTTTGAAAAATGTAAGGAAAATCTAAGCATCTAATAATTCTAGAAACTAGAAAAAGACAGTAAAATAAATTCCACAGAAGGAAGAAAAAATTAATAAAGATAAAAGTAGATATTTATGAATCTGAAAGCAAAATGAGACAGAAAATAAAAATTATAGAATAAATAAAGTAATGCTCCAAAAAGACTGATAAAATAGACAGGCTTCTCTAGCAAGGCTGAATATGAGAAAAAAAGAGAAAACACAAATATACAACATTAGGAATATGAAAAGATTTTTTAAAAGATAAAAACAAGATTTAAAAAATAAGAGAATACCATATATATTTTATATCAATTAATTTTTAAAGCCAGAAAAGCAGTACAAAATCTAAAAAGGTGAGTCAACCCAGAAACATATGTAGAAGTTCACAGATTCCCAGCACCCCCACTGCCCCAACCAACAAAATTCTTAAATGCATCAGGCCCAGACAGATTTATAACTGAATTTTACTTAACCATCAAGGAACAGATAATTCATTTATTTAAACTGTTCTGGAGCTTAAAAAAGGCAGAACCTTTTAAGTTTATTTTATAAAGCTAGCATAATGTAGCTATAAAATATACAGATAGAACAAGGAATAATATGACGATAAACCAATTTGACTTATGAAGTGAGATGTAAAATTTATTGATTAATTGATTGGTTGACTGAGACAGTGTCTTGCTCTGTCTCCCAGGCTGGAGAGCAGTGGCACGATCTTAGCTCACTACAGCCTCAAACTTCCTGGACTGAGGCAATCCTCCCACCTCAGCTCCCAAACGGCTGCAACTACAGGCACGCGCCACCACAGCCTGGCTAATTTTTGTATTTTTTTTTTTTTTTTTTTTTTGTAGAGATGGGATTTCGCCATGTTGTCCAGGGTGGTCTCGAACTCCTGAGCTCAAACGATCCACCCACCTTGGCCTCCCAAACTGCTGGGGTTGCACGTGTGAGCCACCGTGCCCGGCCGGGATGTAACATTTAAAAACAAAACATTACTAATTGAATTCAAGGGTATATGAGAAGAATAAGATACCGTGTACAAATAGGGTTTATTCTAGGAATGCTCAACATTAGAATACTTTGTCTTGATAAATAAAGCTCAACATTTCTGATATAAACATGCGGAAGCAGAAATCAGCTTCTTTAAATTATAAAGAACACTTACCAGAAACCAATATCATAATTAAAGGTAAAAACAAGAGGCACTCTCATTAAAGTCAGCAACAAAACAAAGATAACAACTCTCACTGCCATTCGTCTACATTACTGTGGAGTTCTACCCAGTCTTATAAGACAAGGAAAAGAAAGATGTAAGTGTTGGTGAGGAATACTATTAAGCTATAAAAGAATAAAAAACTCTTAGAACTAAGAGAGCTTAGAAAGATGGCCAAAGATAAATATGCAAAATTCACTATTTTTCCTACATCCCAGTAATAGTCAACTGGAAAGTTTAATGGGAGAAAATATCTCTAAAGGAAAAAACATCATTAAATATGTAGAAATACCATATTTAAACATGCAAGGCCTATATAAAGAAAATACTACTGAAAGACAAAGATGATTTAATTAAGAGATTATGCTTCCAGAACTAAGGATTAATGTCATAAAAATACATCAATTCCTTCTAATTTATCTATAAATTCATTGTAATTTCAACTAAAACAGTAAGTATGAATATAGGAATAAAAAAATAGATCAATGAGTCAAAATAGAGAATCCATAAAGAGACTCAGGTATGTAAGGGGGTTTAGCATTTGATAAAGACAGAAAAATGATTTAGATTACTGAATGCCATTAAAACAACTAACAATCCATTTTGTGCAAAAGTAGCTAGATCTTTACCCCTCATCATATAACAAAAAAATTTCCATATTCATAAAGCTCTAACATAAAAACAAGAGTTCCATAAGCCACAAAGGAAAAGACTGACACATATAATAACATAAAGCTGAAAAAAACTTTTATATGGCTAAAGATACCTTAGATAAACTGAGAAAAACATTTGCATCATAATACAGAAAAAAGGTTAATTGCCCCAATAAAAAGAACTCTAAATCAATAAAAGACACAACCCAAAGAACATGAATCAAAGAAATAAAACTCACAAAAGAAATAAAATTAAACTCACCCTTGCTAATTAAAGAAATGCAAATTCAAACAATAAATGTTACTTAACTGACTGAGATTTCAAAAGTTGACATATCCAATTTTGGCAAGAGTGTGGAAAAAAGTTCTATGTCTCATATGTGTAACATTTTTGGAAGGCAATTTCGTTTGAAAAAAAATTTTGACCAGGCGTGGTGGCTCACACTTGTAAACCCAGCACTTTGGGAGGCCAAGGCAGGCAGATCACTTGAGGGCAAGAGTTCAAGACCAACCTGGACAACATGGCAAAACCCTGTCTCTACTAAAAATACAAAAATTAGCCAGGTGTAGTGGTGTACACCTGTAGTCCCAGCTACTCAGGAAGTTGAGGCAGGAGAATCGCTGAACTCAGGAGGCGGAGGTTGCAGTGAGCTGAGATCATGCCACTGCACTCCGGCCTGGGTGACAGAGTGAGGCTTTGTCTCCAAAAAAAAAAAAATTTAATGACAAACATAAATAAAATATTTACATTCAAATTCTAAACTCTCTCTAACATAGCAATTCTATGACTAGGGCTTTCCTCCTAAAATAAAAAAAAATCCTATGGATGAATAAACATACAAGTATAAGAATGTTCTCTAATAGAGAACAGTATCTAATAGAAAAAAAATAGAAAGTAACCTGAAATTGATTAAATAAAGAACATAGTCATACAACAAAATACCACATATACATACTATGGAAACACAGAAAGGTAGCCACAGTCATTTTTCTATCTAGTTAAAAATAAAAACCTGTTATAGATAGTATGCTATGATCTAATTTTCATAAATATAAATAAATATCAGCAAAGATAAACATTTCTCTATATTTAGATATGTCTACAATAACATCTGGGAAACAGGCTGCATACTAATCTACAAAGTCAGCTTAACAGGAAATGGGACTTGCCATGGGTGTGGAGGACTTTCTGTTTCTATCTGATGATAAAAGCTTGTATTTCTTTTACACTTAAAAAGATAAGAAAAGGAAAAAGGAAGGGAGGGAGAGATGGAGGGGATGGAGAGCTGGGAGATGGAAGGCAATCATGAAGAGTAAAACAAGAAGAGAAGCTACAATTTCAAAGGTGCCATTTGCACCCCCCACCTCCTACTTACCATCAACGTCCTAGCTACATTGCAACCCAAGGTGCCGGCTCCAAGCAGCAGACATTTGACAGACACAACCTTGTCCAAGTTTAAAGTAGGAACCAATCTCCAACACATCAGTTTGAGATTTAGATCCACTGATGACTCAGCTAACCTAGAAAAGGAGAGATTTACTTATTCAGTCTCTCATTTGTGCAATAATCTTGTTCTGAAAGATTTCAAGTGGCTATGTGAGAAAATAAGAAATAATAAGGAAATTGGGATCAAATGAAAAAGAAAATGAAGCTGAAGGGTAAGCAGGGAGGAGAAAGGTTCCCCCCAGCAGCATGCTGTTGGAGTCCTCTGCAATGAGGGGGCCACAAATTTGATACTGAGTTCCAGCAGCCAAGGTGAAAAGGGAAGAGCATGACTGGTTATAGGAATCATGGTGTCCACGAATAAGAACACACCATTTGATTAAGAGGAAAGTTTTTCCTAGTACTGAAAACAGAAATTTCTCTCATATCTCCTTAATAAAGAATGCACTCAGGCCAGGCAGTGGCTCACCCCTGTAATCTCAGCACTTTGGGAGGCTGAAGCGGGTGGATCACCTGAGGTCAAGAGTTCGAGACCAGCCTAGCCAACATGGTGAAACCCTGTCTCTACCAAAAATACAAAAATTAGCTGGGTGTGGTGGCAGGCACCTGTAATCCCAGCTACTCAGGAGGCTGAGGCAGGAGATTCGCTTGAACCCGGGAGGTGGAGGTTGCAGTGAGCCGAGATCATGCCATTGCACTCCAGCCTGGGCAACAGGAGCGAAACTGTCTCAAACAAACAAACAAACAAAAAGAGTGCACTCAGATTCGCCCTTAAATACAATAGTGGTTTCCATGAAATAATTCTTCTAATATCCTTCAAAGTGGGCCAATAAGGGCTGGGCGTGGTGGCTCATGCCTGTAATCCCAGCACTTTGGGAGGCCGAGGCAGGTGGATCACGAGGTCAGGAGTTCAAGACCAGCCTGGGCAACACAGTGAAACCCTGTCCCTATAAAATACAAAAAATTAGCTGGGTGTGGTGGCGTGTGCCTGTAATCCCAGCTACTCAGGAGGCTGAGGCAGGAGAATCGCTTGAACCCAGGAGGCGGAGCTTGCAGTGAGCAGAGATCACACCCTTGTATTCCAGCCTGTGCAGAGCAAGACTCCGTCTGGGGCACAGGGAGAAGTGAGCCAATAGGACCAAGCCAGAGGACAATGCATAAAGGACTGAAAGACAGTACAGGTACACTGGTGGTCTGAGAGCATGAGCTTGAAAGAACAAAATTTAAAATGTCTAGAACAGATGAACAGTCTGCCCTTCAGGATATGCATTGTTAATATTAATTCTCACAACCAAACTTCAATTAAAGAGCAGGATAACACATGGCAGCATGACTGGCACCCCCTGGGCTGAATTACACAACATTGTGTTGGCCTGACAGAACTTGGTGTGTGTCTTGGTTACAACAAGCCTGACTGGAGAAAACAGCTTCCCAAATCTACCTTTTAGGGTCCATACATTCACTGAGGTTCACCATCCTTGGTCCCATGCCTCCTTTCTGGTTCTTTTCCCATCCAACTGCTTTAGGACAATCTTAAGGCAAATAAAACACAAAGCTTAATGAAGGAGGGAAGAATAAAAACAAACAGATCAAGCAGCAACCTTGTATAAAAAGGATCGACATTCATAATGGCCCATGCATTGACAAGCTTTTGGTTTGCTTCTTTCTAAAAGAGACCTGAGGGCCTGAATTTCCATGGACTTGCTACAGTTGCCTCCCCATCTTTCTCAACTACTGGGAGTCTTGTTTAGGGACCATCAAACCCAAGCAATCTTCCTGTACAGGAGCTTCTGAAATAGTCCTCAACTCTGGCCCAAGGTGCCTCAACTTTCACTGTTACTGGAAGTTGCTGGGAAAAAAAAAAAAAAGAAAAAGAAAAAAAGACAGTCTTATCTGGGGTAGGTATAACCCCACTGAGGCTTCTATCTAAGCAAGCCAAGCCAATGTAACTGCACCACACCTTCACTGAAGTTCCTATTGGGATCTGAATCTTTAAATTCAGTATGTACCTTCTGTTGCTCATCCTTACCATGTCCCCCTGCTCAGCCTTTCTGTCACTGCACCTGTGAGCAGATCATAGTCCAAGGTGACTGTCCTTTGATTAAGCTGCCCTTTCCTTTAAGCTCATCTTTATCCATTCAGAACTTTCCCTTCCCTTACTTCTCCCTTCCCCGCTGCCCTTTTAATCCCTGCTATGGGAGCCTCTGTAACTCCAATTAACTCCAATTCTAGCAGTTCCCAAAGTGTGTCCTATTCAATAATCTCAGAGGATAAGGATCCTGTAGCTAAACAGACTTGGGAAATGCTTCTATACTTATATCTATCTTCTATCTCCAGCCCCCCAATACCACTCAAACCTGGCCATTCACATGGCACATGAGGGAGATAAAAGCTCTGAGAAACCTGCAGTACAGAACCCACGTGATTTGATTTGGCTTTGTGTTTCCCAAACTTACATGGCTCTCGATATCTCCCTTCATTTCCCTGCATACCAGTTACAATCTCAAAGGAAACACTGCTCTATTCTACTGTTGCAAAATTCTCTTAAACATCTCAATTGCTTTGTAGGACACGCCTGCGTCCTTCTCATGTTAATGAAAGCTCTGCTTGCCTTGGTGGAACCACAGCCTTGTAAATCTTGCTAGTGGATCCACCCACCCTCTTGGGCTCCCTACATCTCAGGTCCTATGCTGCTCCCCTTTTCTCATTGAATTCCTACTGCTCACAATAAAGCCTGAACTCCTAAGCAAGAAATTCACCCCGCCACAGCCTACACTTCCAGCATCACCTCCAGTCTGCCTTAAGCAACAGACTCTGCAGGAACAGAAACTCCTTGACTTGAAATTAAGATGTATGGGACTGGGAGGGGGAATTTTAATTTTGTTTCTAATTGTACGCTGGTTTTTTCCTTTTTTTTTTTTTTTTTTTTTGAGACAGAGTCTTGCTCTGTCGCCCAGGCTGGAGTGCAGTGGCACGATTTTGGCTCACTGCAAGCTCTGCCTCCTGGGTTCCCGCCATTCTCCTGCATCAGCCTCCTGAGTAGCTGGGACTACAGGCGCCCGCCACCACACCCGGCTAATTTTTTGTATTTTTAGTAGAGATGGTGCTTCACCGTGTTAGCCAGGATGATCTCGATCTCCTGAGCTCGTGATTCACCCGCCTCAGCCTCCCAAAGTGCTGGGATTACAGGCGTGAGTTACCACACCCAGCCTGTACACTGGTTTTCTTTGTCCATTCTCCTACTTTTGAATTTCTATAAGATCGCAATTTTCCTTTCCTTGGGAAACTTTTTAGCTTTTGAAATTAAAAAAAAAAAATAGTATTGCCAAATATAATTATGGGACATAGAAGGTATTGAGATTCCCTTTACACGATCTTTTGTTTCTGGGATAGGATGACCAATGAGAAACCATAGGGCCAATTATCCTTGAAAGCTACTTGGGCCCCAGTTTGGCTGGGGGTATCATTCACAGCAAGAAGCCAGAAAGCAAACGTCCTTCCCCATTTTATTTTATTTATTTATTTTTTTTTTTTGAGACGGAGTCTCGCTCTGCCGCCCAGGCTGGAGTACAGTGGCCAGATCTCGGCTCACTGCAAGCTCCGCCTCCCGGGTTCACGCCATTCTCCTGCCTCAGCCTCCTGAGTAGCTGGGACTACAGGCGCCCGCCACCTCGCCCGGCTAGTTTTTTGTATTTTTTCAGTAGAGACGGGGTTTCACCGTGTCAGCCAGGATGGTCTCGATCTCCTGACCTCGTGATCCGCCCGTCTCGGCCTCCCAAAGTGCTGGGATTACAGGCTTGAGCCACCGCGCCCGGCCGTCCTTCCCCATTTTAAATTGGGCACTCTAATGCAGTATTTTTTAATGCCATGAAAAATTAAAACTGAAAAAATAGAGTTTTCTTGTTTGAGACAGGGTCTTGCTATGTTGCTGAAGCTATTCTTTAACTCCTGGGCTCAAGTGATCCTCCAGCTTCAGCCTCTGGAGCAGCTTCGATTACAGGCATGGGCCACCACACCCAGTCAGATTTGAGTTTCATAAAGAGATTAAGACTTCAGAATTGTTTTTCTGTGGGGAAAAGAAACAGTTCCCACCTGCTACTAATTGATATTTTGTTTGATTTTATTACTATTCTTAGATTGAATTAAAAATGTGTCTCTCAACAGCAAAGACATGGAATCAGTTTAAATGCCCATCAGTGACAGACTAGATAAAGAAAATGTGGTACACATACACCATGAAATACCATGCGGCCACAAAAAAGAATGAGATCATGTCTTTTGCAGGAACATGGATGGAGCTTGAGGTCATTATCCTTAGCAAACTAGTGCAGGAACAGAAAACCAAATATTGCATGTTCTTAGTTATAAGTAGGAGCTAAATGATGAGAACTCATGGACACAAAGGGGAACAACAGACACTGGGGCCTACTTGAGGGTGAAGGGTGGGAGAAGGGAGAGGATCAGAAAAAATACTAGGTACTAGGTATTAGTACCTGGGTGATCAAATAATCGGTACAACAAACCCCTGTGAAACAAGTTTACCTATATAACAACCACATATACCCTGAACGGAAAATACAAGTTTTTTTTGTTTTTTTTTTTTAATGTGTCTCTGATACATAGCACAGGAACTTGACAAGAACTACAGAATCATAGCCTAGTACTGTCATCCATAACTCCAGCCTAGGTTTTCTCTTGTTACAGGTAAGAAATTATTAGACAAAAATAAAACATAATTTCAATTAAAAGCTCTCTATACTCAAAAGGTAACAGATGCTGGGCTCATGTCTGTAGTCCCAGCTACTTGGGTGGCTAAGGCAGGAGGAAAGATTGCAGGAGGAAGGATTTGGCTCAGGAGTTCAAGGCCAGCCTGGGCAACATAAGAAGACCTCATCTCTCAAAAAATAATAATAATAATAAAGGCTATAGCCATTTCTAAGAAAATCAGATGCTCCTTAAACTTAATAATGAAAAAAATACCACATATGGCAATAGTATTTACCATACCTGCCTCCATATAATCTATACCAATAAGACCTACACCAAATTAAATGATAAATATATAATACATATAAAAATATATATGAACATATATATATATATGTTTTTTGAGACAGAGTCTTGCTCTCTTGCCAGGCTGGAGTAAAGTGGCACTTATCTTGGCTCACTAAAACCTCTGCCTCCCGGGTTCAAGCAATTCTCCTGCCTCAGCCTCCTGAGTAACTGGGACTACAGGTGCGCACCACCATGCCTAGCTAATTTTTATATTTTTAGTAGAGAGACGGGGTTTCACCACGTTGGCCAGGATGGTCTCGATCTCTTGACCTCATGATCTGCCTGCCCTGGCCTCCCAAAATGCTGGGATTACAGGCGTGAGCAACCGCGACTGGCCAAGAAAATATTTTTTAGGGAAAAATTGGGGGCTGTCTCCCATAGTGGGCAAGCAGGAGGAGCACAGGAAAAACCAGAGTTAAGATGATGGAATCTCTACCCTCAGCAGTGTCTGCCATCTTCCTCCACCAGGTGCCAGAGCTGTAACACACCATGAGGAAGCAAAAGAAGACATAGGATATTTAAAATAATACTCCATGACTGCGCAAGGTAGCTCACAGCTGTAGTCCCAGCACTTTGGGTGGCTGAGACTAGAGGATTGCTTGAGCCCAGGAGTTCAAGACCAGCCTGGGCAACCTAGTGAAACCCTGTCTCTGCAAAAAATACAAAAATTAGTCAGGTGTGGTGGCACATCCCTGTAGTCCCAGCTACTCGGGAGGCTAAGCTGGGGGGATGGTTTGAGCCTGGGAGGTCAAGGCTACAGTGAGCTATGATTTTGCCACTGCACTCCAGCCTGGGTGACAGGTCAAGACCCTGTCTCAAAAAATAAAATAAAATAAAATAATTTAAAATAATACTCCTTATACCATTACCATGGCAACTATGGGATGTCTTAAAAGTACTGAAAAGTACAACCATACTTATATTTTCAGTTTACATTATGATATAGAAAAATTCTTTATAAAGCTGTATTTACCATAAAGTTTTATTTACAGCTAAGAGGGAACATATTAATTTACATGAAAAACAGGAAATTCATTTGCCTTTCCTAAGCTAAATAATCTACATTAAATATCAGGCATAAAGAAGATATGTTAAAGGCATTATTGGATGTCAGAAAACCTTTTTCAGATGGAAATGTAAGGTGTGGTTTCTAGGTTTAAATGTCAGCATCAGCTGGGCACGGTGGCTCACGCCTGTAATCCTAGCACCTTGGGAGGCTGAGGCAGGCAGATTGCCTGAGCTCAGGAGTTCAAGGCCAGCCTGGGTACATGGTGAAACCCCATCTCAACTAAACACAAAAAAATAGCCAGGTGTGGCAGTGTGCACCTGCAGTCCCAGCTACTCAGGAGGCTAAGGCAGGAGAATTGCTTGAACCCCGGAGGCAGAGGTTGCAGTGAGCTGAGATCCTGCCACTGCACTCCAGTCTAGGCGACAGAGTGAGACTCTGTCTCCAAAAAAAAAAGTGACTGGGCATAGTGGCTCACTCCTGTAATCCCAGCACTTCGGGAGGCTGAGGCTGGCGGATCACGAGGTCAGGGGTTCGAGCCTGGCCAACAAGCGAACCTGCACTCAAGCCTCAAGTGGCAGGGCAAGACTCCATCTCAAAAAAAGATTAAAAAAAATGTCAGCATCATCAAGCATGAGCGTTATCATAGAGAGTAGGATGTAAGAATAACTCAGTGACTGTGTCATAAAGTGTAAAGAAAACTGCCTCTCCACAGAGTGGTTGGCAGAATTAAGTGATTGCCTCATGGAAGGTGCCTGGCAGCTTGTCAGACACACAGACCAGACCCACATTACTTTTTAGTTAACTCTCACCTCATTCCCCAAGACCACGTTTATCCAACCCACGGCCCAGGACGGCTTTGAATGTGGCCCAACACAAATTCATAAACTTCCTTAAAACATTACGAGATTTTTTTGCTTTTTTTTTTTTTCTCATCAGCTATTGTTAGTGTTAGTGTATTTTATGTGTGGTCCAAGACAATTCTTCTTCCAGTGTGGCCAAGGGAAGCCAAAAGATTGGATACCCCTGTGACTATCTTTAAGTGTGGTTTAATAAAACGAAGGTACAGCATGTAAATTAACATTACACAGGAGCTATTTTATAATTTGCCAGAAGAGGGTGCTACATTCAATGCAAATATCTAAAGACAGCAGAACGGCAAAGGCTCTAAACTGAAAAGCAGCATCGTCCTTTGATCAAACGGAAGTACTCTGTCAATCTTTCAGAGAAGTCTGTAAAGACATCCATGTTAGAGCACAGAACTGCTGAAAAAATGTCATGTGGGCCAGTCCTGAATCCTTTTGACTTTAGCACTCTAGAAAAGATATCTCAGAAGAGATTTTTTTTTTTTTGAGACAGGGTCTTGCTCTGTCACCCAGGCTATAGCACCTATAGCAGCGCAATAGGCTCACTACACCTCCACCTCCCAAGTTCAAGTGATTCTCCCGCCTCAGCCTCCTGAGTAGCTGGAATTACAGACGCCCGCCACCACACCTGACTCATTTTCGTATTTTTAGTAGAGACAGGGTTTCGCCTTGTTGGTCAGGCCAATCTCGAACTCCTGACCTCAGATGATCCACCTGCCTCAGCCTCCCAAAGTGCTGGGATTACAGGCATGACCCACCACACCCAGCCTTGAAAGAGATTTTGACACCACCTCCCCCATCACACACACACATTTTAAGGCATATCTATGGCATAAGGAAAGAAATGTGCCTTGGAACCATCAGGATGGTGTGAGGAACAACAAGTTAAATAATACATGTGAGGCCAGGCTCGGTGACTCACACCTGTAATCCTAGCACTTTGGGAGGCCAAGGTGGGTGGATCACTTGAGGTCAGGAGTTCAAGACCGGTCTGACCAACATGGTGAAACCTGTCTCTACTAAAAATACAAAAATTAGCAGGGCCTGGTGGCGGGCTCCTGTAATCCCAGCTTCTTGGGAGGTCAAGGCAGGAGAATCACTTGAACCTGGGAGGTGGAGGCTGCAGTGAGTCGAGATCATGCCACTGCACTCCAGCCTGGGTGACAAAGCTAGACTCTGCCTCAAAAATAATAATAATAATATATGTTGTGAAAGTGCTCTCAAAAGCATACAAATCACATAAAGATGAGGAATTATTCTGGCAAGAAGTATAAAAGTGCGGGGCTTTATGTGAGCTAGGAAATTTACATAACATTTATAAAGCACCTACGATGTGCCAGACATTGTGCTCTGACTTTGACACAGGACATGGATTCCTGATAAGAAATATTTCCGGAGCTGGGCATTATATTCTTATTTTACTCAAACTTGAGTATGTATTCCATCTCTGTGACATACGTAAAAAAATATATATGTATATATATACACACACATATATATCTCTCTATAGAAAAAATGTCTCTCAGTCTAAGTTTCTGAATTTAGAAAATGGGGATAAAAGCTGATAGTTGTCACATAAGGATCAAATGAAGATATTAAATGTGGAAGGAGAAATGGCATTTTTGCTGACTGGTTTGCTATATGGAGAACAGGATCACATACATCTAACACATCTAACAAATAAATATTTAAGTGCATTAATACTTCATCCTTCCTTTAAGAATGGACAGGAATAAAGATTTTGTGTTAAACAAAAGTAAAATTGAAAACAGGCGGAGCAGAGGGGAACAAATCCTGAAGACTGAAAAAACTGCCTAGAGAAAATTTCCTGGTCACAATCTTTGCCTTTGTTCCAGTCTGAATAGCAGAGCGTGCCCTCTGTTCGAAGTAGGTGTCTGCATTGGCAAAGAGGTACAAGTTGTACTTTTCTCTTCCTTTCTTGTGCCATTGTGAAGGGATGAAAAGAAAGTAAACCTGGTTCTGTTTCTGATAAATGATAATTATATGCATTTTCAAAGACCGGCAAATTACCTGGGCTAAATGCCATTTCTGGAAGCTTCACTTCGAAGATGATGCTGTGGGCAACGTCTCGCGCCCCCTGCATGGTACGGTCACGGAAGCAAAGAACTTCAACAGACTGGAAACTGCTACTCCTGTTGTCATGCCCGGATTTTTATTTATTTATTATTTTTTTTAAAGGAAGGAAAAGAAAAAGCTCACATAAGAGCTTCAGCAAACCAGTTGGAGAGAATTCAATGCATTGTAATTATGCCTCTCTGATACCCACAGGAGATGGCCTTAACTCTTTTGAACATATTCATATACGGTTCCTCTGTCCAAGTGTTTAGAGGCTGAACAATGAATTGGCTGTGATTTCCTTCTAGGTGAATTTTATATTACAGTCATATTGCACATAAATAATTCTGACAAATAAATATTTTAAATGCAAGGAAAAAATGCTCACAAGACATTTAGGAAAAAACTCTTTAAGACGTGGGTTCTTTTGGTTCCCTCCGCTCTCCAAATATGAACTTCCATATCAAGCAGTAGCACTTCAGTCAGTAGTTAGGAAGCCCATTTGCACTGTGTAGACTTACCACCTGGATAATTGTGGATTGTCTCCCTAAGAGCACAATCTATAATTTATCTATCTTCATTTTTTAAATAAACATTTTTATTTAAGTAAAGCAGACACATTACACAAATCCCAAGTATAAAGAAGGCTGTCTCATGCCTTCTCTCAAAAGTAACAACTACTCTAAGTCCATATATTGGTTTTGCCTATTTTAACTTTACATAAATGGAATCATAGAGTACGTATTATTTTAGGTCCAACTTATTTCACTTAATAATATGTTTTTAAAATTCATTCATGTTGATTTCTGTATTAATAGTTCACTCAGATTCATTGTAATACAGCATTTCATCGTAAGGGATATACTAAAATTTATTATTCATTTCACTATTGAAGAACATGTGGACTATTCCCAGTTTTTAGTTATTGAGCATAATGCTTCAGTAAACATTCTTGTATATGTGTTTTGCTTCTATCTATGTATGTATTTCAGTGAGTAATATACTTGAGAGTAACATTGCTAAGCCATAGATATTTTTAATTTTGGTAGATACTGCCCAACGTTTTTCCAGCCGTATTTGCTCCACATCTTCGACAACACTTGGTATGGACGTTTTTGTTAAATACTTTTGGTGGATATGTAGTAGCATCTCATTATGGTTTTAATTTTTATTTCCTTAATGACATGATGTTGGGCATCTTTTCAAATATATACTGGCTTTTAAGATATCCTCTGTTTTAATTGTTTTAGGGTTAAGAAAAAATGGAGAATGATCGCAGTAGAAAAATCCTATCTGAAAGAAACCCAGACAGCTAGAAGGGAGGGCTACAGAATTTGTGTCAGGACCTCTGGCTACCAACTCTACCATACACTAAAACATCTTTAGCACAGAATGATCAGAATATGCAAGTCCCTAACAGACCTGCTTAAGGTTCACTAGTATGGAAATTGGGTTATGACTGATTTATTGATTACCTGATTTCCATGCCCAAAATGGAAAAAAAAAAAAACATTTAGGAAAACAGAGATACAAATAGAAACAGACACATTGTAAAACACATACTGACAAAGGCAGACAGACAGACAAACACACACTCTTGTAAATACCATCTGTGGGCTGCTAGGACCAAAAAATTCCTCAAAGGCCATCCAGGGTACTGGGCTAAGTTACAGGGATCATATACACCAATTGTTATCTGTGAACAAAAAAGACTTTCTGAGTGAGTCAAGTATCATCTCAGCTTCACAATACAGATGCTGCTCATACTTCCTCTTTGTTTCTTTTATGCTTTCTGCAAAGCCTTAAAAATTAGACATCTGGTAAAGGGCTAAGGGGAGGAGAAGAAAGCCACAGGATCTCACACTGGACTACAGAACTTCTTGATGGCAGGGGTTATCAAATTCTTGTCTGCATCCCTGTGCCTTGCATTGGGCCTGGCAGAAAGTAGGAGCTAAATACATTTAGAAGGAAAAAAGACTAGAAGGAAGATGGGGAATGAAGGAGGACAGTCAAGAGGGCTTGCAGAGAAAATCCTCTTGTAAACAAAGAAATATAATCTGTGAAACTGACTCATTTTTATGCAATGAGAAAATCAAAGAAGGGCTACTACTAATGTAAGCCTACAATCAGATCAAGTTAAACAGCCAGTTACCCTTGATTTTGCTAACATATATTTCCTCCCTTCCCCTTCCCATCCCACTCCAATCCTGATCTTCATCTGGAAAACTCTACTCAATTTAAAATACCATTTCTTCAGTGAAGTCTTCTCCTGGCAGAAGTAGTTGACCTGTCCTTGCTGCTTCCATAGCTCTTTGAACCTTGTATATAACATTTTTCATTTTTCTGTCTCCTTCCTTTCAAAGACAATGAGCATCCAGCACCCAGATACTGACTTCTAAATACCATTCTCCAAGAAAAGAAATCAGGGCTCCTTGGACACATGGTTAATTCTAGGGCTCAGGCAGGGAAAATACAAGAGAAGCTTGGAGCATCTTATAATACCAGGAAAGGAGGTACTCAAAAAACAAATGAATTGGGGCATGCCAAGGGGATACAGGCACCAACTGAAAGAGTTCTCAATGGCCAAGGCTGGCACAATTTGTACAACAATATAAATAATATGATGTTGAATTATAACCCAAAGTATAAAATAAGTATCTATGAGTCCACATTGATATAAATAAAGAATGGAATAAATGTGAAGGGACAAGTCTTCCTTAAAGAAAATTTCCAAACAATATATGCAAATACTGCCCTCTTCAGAAGCAAAATTTAACCCTTCCCCTCCTTAAAGGTAGCTGGAATTAGTGATTTACTTCCAAAGAAAAAAACAGTAACTTTACAGTGGAGAAACCTGGCAAATATTACCTTAACCAAGTAATCAATTTAACATTACCAAGGATGTCACGTGGATTATCAGAACGGTACTTCACTCTGTGGTATTCTTTCCAAAAACCCGTAATAACCCCAGTCTAATCACAAGAAAACATCAGACAAACGCAAATTAAGGGACATTCTATAAAAATAACTAATTAGTACTCCTCAAAAATGTCAAGGTCATCAAAAAAATCAAAGAAAGCCTGAGAAACAATTACAGATCACAGGAAACTAAGGAGGAGACATGACAACGAACTGCAATGTGGTATCCTGGACTGGATCCTAAACAGAAAGAGGGTATTATAGGAAAAAACTGGTGAAACTGGAAATGTCTAGAGTTGAGTTAATTGTAATGTAAAAATTCTGGCTTCTTAGTTTTGACTAATGAAACGTGGTGATATAATGTGACAACATTAGAGAAAACTGAAACCAGGTGAAGGTATATGGTAATTCTCTGTATTGTCTTTGCCACTATCTTCTGTAAATCTAAAATTATCCCAAAATAAAGTTTATTTTTTAAAAAAGGAAGACAAAGAGCATCTGGAGAGCAGAGAGTATCTTTTTCATCTCTCCACGATCAGTTCATAAATACAGAGCAGACACTCGGTGAATGTTTTTGAATAACAAAGTAGATGGATGGATAAATGGGTGGAAGAAAGGAAGGAAGGATGTACAGTGAGTAGGGGTGAGGGAGAGAAATTACTGGCAGAGAACCATAAATTGACCCATAGGTTTCCTTCATAAGCATAACATGGGTTAAATGAAAACACGGCTGACACGTTTTTGTTAAATCTAGATCCAGTTAGTTCTGTAAGGATGGAATCACCCTAAACACTCCCTTTTATTTCCCACAATGCTTGGTATAGTATCAGCCACAAAGTAGGAGCTTAACTAATATTCAGAAGAATATCTATAACCCCACTATCCTGAGAGAACTATTAACATCTTGGTATATAATTGCCCATAAACTTGTTCTTTGCATAAATATATTTTAATTACTAGGACTTTGAAACAAACATGGGATGATGCTGTAAATACTGTCTTTGTTGTTGTTGTTTTGAGACAAAGTCTCACTCTATACCCAGGCTGGAGTGCAGTGGCATGATCTCGGCTCACTGCAACCTCCACCTCAAGGGATTTAAGCAGTTCTAGTGCCTCAGCCTCTCTAGTTCCTGGGACAACAGACAGGCGTGTGCTACCATGCCCTGCTAATTTTTTGTATTTTTTCAGTAGAGATGGGGTTACACCATGTTGGCCAGGTTGGTCTCGAACTCCTGGTCTTAAGTGATCCACTGGCTTTATCCTCCCAAAGTGCTGGGATTGCAGGCATGAGTCACTGTGCCTGGCCTAAATATTGTTTTATATCTCTTATTGTATTATGAACTGTCTTCCATGCCAGTAAATGTTCTACAACCATTGTGAGTCATGGCTGAATGGCATTCCATTGTATTGATGTACCAAACTTTTTCTATTTCCTTTTGAAGGACAATTAAGTAGTCTTAATCTGCTCAATCTCTGAAAATGAATTTTACTATGGTCTTATCAGATAATTACTGTATTATTTCAAAGACTCTTTAAAATATTTGCTACCTTTTCTGTTATATACAATTTTCTTATTCCTAAAATTGAAGCATTTTTTGTCTAAATGCATGTTCATTTCTTAAACGCAAATAGATTCATATTTAATTTAATACAAATATGTTCATAGCTATGGTCATCCTTTCAGGAAATACCTTTATTTGAGATTTCCTTTTCCACAGAGATAAGGTTTCAGCATCTAAGGTTTACAGTATCTAGTAAAAATAGAGCTTACTACACTGAGTAGTCTCTTACTAAATGAGGCCTAGGGAAAAGTACTCAACCCTCCAAGCTACAGTTTAATCATGGAGGAAATAATATATTACTTATTTCATAGAGCTGTAGTGAGGATTAAATGAGCTGATACTAAATATGAAAAGTCCAGCACATACAAGTGCTACTAATATCATTATTGGTGATAGACTCAGAATCTCCAGTGGTGAGCCCAGCAATCTGTATCTTTAACTGTACCAGGCTCCTGAATTATTCTGATGCGGCTGGTCCACTCCATGCACTCCAATTTGGGGCATATTAGAGAGGGTGCTCTTATAGACAAAAGAAAACATCTCTGAACTGTCATTATCTTGAAAACTCTGAACTGGCTCTACATCTTCCCATGCTCCTCAAAATGTGGTTCATGCCCCAGCAGCATGCATGCATCAGCCTTCCCTGGGAGCCTTCAGAAAAGCAGAATCCCAGGTCTCCACCTAGACCTGCTGAATCAGAGCTTGCATTTTAATAAGAACCCAGGTGATTAATACACCCAGGGAAGTTTCAGAAGCACTGTTCTTCCTCAACCTTCTAATAGCCATGGGTCTCACACTTGAAGATTCTTGGGTATCACCTGCGGAGCTATCAAAAATACTGCTGCCTGCGTCCCACCTCCAGAAGTTCTGGTTTAATTGATCTGGAGTTTGGCTTGAGTATTGGTTATTTGAAAAGATCCTCAGGTGATTCTAATGTGCAGGTTACAAACTTCTTGATTGTCTGCAGCAGTTTCTCAAAGTATAGTCCGGCACAGACCACCTGCATCAGAATTGCCTAGAAGCTTGATGAACTTGCACAACACCCTACCCACACACATACACACACTCAATCTGATCCCAGACCTCTCTAGGTACCACCAATACCTGCATGTCCAGTGACTACTGCATGTGATTCTCGTGTACACTATCATCTTAGCACTAGCTGTCTAGAGTCAAAAGAAGAAAATGAGTATTTGCTTAAAAGAGGGTTCACTGCATAAATATACACAATTGTAAGAAATTCCTGACTTTAGAAAAATTAAAATATGGAGAAACAAGCATTTTAGAATAAAGAAAACACAGGATGCATTTTATGTTTGATGTCTTGCTGGTTTAGAACTCTCTGTGAAGGCAGGAGCAGTGTATTCATCTTTCCATTTCTAGTTACCTAAGCACAGTGCCTGATAGTCAGCAAGTATCTATTGAATAGATGACAGACTAGTAAATTTCTCCAGGCTTGAATACATGGACTCCTCCTCTGCAAAGATTTTGAGCAGGGATCCTGGGAGGCAGCTAGAGGGGGAAAAGTGATGCCTGAGTGACACAGACCTGAAACTTCTATACAAAACCGTGATGCAGCATCTCAGCAAGTTCCTTTTCCTTCCTTCTTTCCTCTCTCAACAATACAGGGTCTCATGGCATTTTAACCCTGGGATTCTCCTAGGTGAGAATGTGAAAGTAAGATGAAAAAAAAAAAAGAGGGCTTCCAATGAGAAGCAAGAGAACTCTGAGAACAAGATTTCCAGTCTAGGGCTTCCACCAAATGAAGAAGTTGTCTTCCTTGAGCTCTTCTGGTTCATGTGGCCACCCCATTTGCTACTCTTCCATCAGGGACATCTTTTTATTTTGTTCCCCTCTGCCAATTACGACAGATAGCGTCTGCCAGACAAACTACATTTATTTAGCAATCATCGCATCAATTTCACACTGCTTTTATTTATAAAAAGCATTTACAACTCTAGGCCAGGCGAAGTGGCTCACACCTGTAATCCCAGCACTTTGGGAGGCCAAGGCGGGCAGATCACGAGGTCAGGAGATCGAGACCATCCTGGCTAACACAGTAAAATCCTGTCTCTACTAAACATACAAAAAAATTAGTTGGGCATGGTGGCGGGCGCCTGTAGTCCCAGCTACTTGGGAGGCTGAGGTAGGAGAATGGCGTGAACCTGGGAGGCGGAGGTTGCAGTGAGCCAAGATCTCGCCACTGCACTCCAGC